TTCTTCTTCTTCTTCTTCTTCTTCTTCTTCTTCTTCTTCTTCTTCTTTTTTCTTTACTTTGTGCATTTTCCCTCACCTTGAATACTGGCTTTTATTCTCCATTTATTCTTTTTTTTTTTTTTGATGCAGAAAAATCGATGGGACCAATGAAGAAGAAGATACCATTGAGCTGAATGAAGACGGAAGGCCGGTGCAGACACCCAGGCCACGCCTCCCAGTCTGTGATTGCGGCTGCTGTGGCATCCCCAAGCGGTACATCATCGCCATCATGAGTGGCCTGGGATTCTGTATTTCCTTTGGCATTCGGTGCAACCTTGGAGTGGCTATTGTGGAAATGGTCAACAACAGCACTGTCTATGTGGACGGAAAACCGGAAATTCAGGTCAGTACGGAACTAAAGCGGGAGGATATGTGAGCTTGCGTGCGTGCGCGCGTACGTGCGTGGGTACATGCGTGAGTGCATGCATGCGTGTGTGTATGTGTGTGACAGTTGTGTAAAAGCGAAGAGGACAATTCATTGATGTAACAAGCACATTCAGTGACAGCCTCATACTGGGTCCTGGACATGGCTAAATAACAGCCGAGAGGGACCGTGAGCTCCAGGAGACTGACAGTCTATGTGACAACGTGGTGTGCCAGTTGCTGGGTCAGTATGGCTTCACTAGATTCTTGGGCTCCTGTAGGAGTGAGCACGCCACGATTTTGGTGTTGTGATTTTTCAGAGAAAGTGATGGCTGAACTTGACAGAGATTTGGTGGGGTAGAAAGAATATTGGAAGAAAAATGAGCACTGTCTGTAAAGGTCTGCGAGGGAGACAGACAGAGAGATCATGACATGTTGGGAAGCGAGACAGGCTTTTCTGTGCTATAAACCCTTTCAAACCCTGTGAACAACCGGGTAAGCCATTGATCAAAGCTAACATCTGAAATTCTTAGTGTAATAGACAAAGGAGTCTAAAGGGAGGCAATTATATTAAAGTGTAGAGGAACATATTTAAAAATCAAATTTATGGTATAGATGTAAGGCCTCCTTACTAGTACATCAGATAGCAGAACCTAAATTTTAATGGACATATAAGCAACACTTGTGATCCTGACGACAACTGTAATATCATTTGAACATGTTTCTGGCTGTCACTCACGTCACAGTAGTGAGACTGATTTTACCATATTTTTAAATCATGTTTATACTTGCAGAAACTCTAAATTGTAGTCAGCAGGCAGTGAAGATAAAAACACTAACTTTTCTGTGGTTTATTAGAACCGGTGACTGCAACTTTGCCATATTACCCATTGACCTGGAATTCCAGGGGAAAGGCATGTTCTAGAAATGCAAACCGAAGCAACTCACCTCAGGATATTCTCTTCCAAAGTTTTACCCTAGATATTATACAAATCAAGAAATTGTTTTGCAAAATATTTTCATGAATGCAAACTTTTATTGAAAGTATTATATATTAAGTTTAAAACAAACCCCCCTGACTTTCCCTCATCTAAGTTTATAGACACACTGGATTCTTCCGCATACCCCAGAATCATTGCTGCCTGATGGAAAGGGGCCTGGTGAACGTTCTCAGGCTGGTGGTGTCATGCAGAAGCATTGATGTTATTCCATAAATTGTTTTATGTATGCTGGAAACGTAAAGCTAGTTTTATTTTAGCCTAGCTAGGTAGAAGAGATGGCTCAGCGGTTAAGAGCACTGCCTGCTCTTCCAAAGGTCCCGAGTTCAATTCCCAGCAACCACATGGTGGCTCACAACCATCTGTAATGAGATTTGGTGCCCTCTAGAGGAAGAGACCTGGTCAGTCGTCCTCATCCACTTAGACCATGAAACCCAATATGGACAAGTGCAACAGAGCCGCCATATACGGGCTGCCCATGCATGCCTCAACATTGTCAGGGCATACATTTCATTTTCGAAAAAAAAGGCCTCATAAATTATGGGATGAATAATTGAAAATGTGTCCCCATAACTGTCTGCCTCACCGAACTGAATGTGGGCACAAAATGACTACAGGAGAGAATGGTCCTCCTCAGAGAGGCCCCTGGTGGTTCTCTGGATGTCTGTGTTTGCATTTAGTCTTAGACCTGAGTTTTCCATGTGGGGGTCTGGGAAACTATGGCATTACTTGCAGGGTTTTGTGGGAAGAAGACACCGTGTATGTGAAGCCTGGATTGTTTCTGAGTGCTGTGTGACCCTGAGGCAGGGTCATGGAGGTACTATTTCCTCAGCGGAGAGCGTGGCAGTCTTATTTTTGATGCCCCATCTGTTAGCATCACCTAGAACAGTCTTTTGCCAAGGACTGGCTTGGGGAAATTTGATGTCAGTTCACGGAAAAGCGGTCTTTAGCCAGCACGCAGGCTTTCCCCCTTCCTCCTAAGAGATTGTTCAGCACCATGGAGATGCATTAGCCTGCATTGATGCCCCAGCTGAGTCTGTCTGAGAGAGATATTCTGTTTATTGTGGGGGATGGTGGTGGAGGGGGAAGGTGAGACAGAGGGAGAGAAGCATTCAGTGCTTTCAGAAAGGAACACCGGTGGGGCTTCAGATGTGTGTCATTTGCGTCCCCTCAGCCTTTTGTGGGCAAGGCTGGCTGATTAGAACTTGCCTACTGAGGCGCAAATCAAAATGAGATGCTACTAGCGTTTGTCACCTGCAAAGCCAATCGGTCAATAGAGCCCGAGAAATTAGGACAGAGAAGAGACACTTTGATAAAAATGAAGAAGCAATGTTCTCTGGACTCACCAGTTTCTACAATGTTGCTTAGAAGATCTGATTAGGATCTAAACCCTGCTCTATATCATTCGCTCTGGCATCAAGAGCAGGAGTTGAGGAACTAGGCATGGTGGCGTATGCCTATAATCGGCAGAAGACCGAGGCAGAGGGGCAGGATTGAGTTCAAGGCCATCTTGAGCTAAGTAGTGAGTTCAAAGACCAACTAGGTTACAGAACAAGACCCTGCCTCAAACTAACCAAAGAAGAAGGGGTGGGGGGAGGAAAAATCTAATCCCCAAATAGGACCTCATACAATAATACCCTTGATAACAAAAATAAAAGCCTCACCCAAAGCAGAGAACAATGATTTGAACATGCTCTAGTGAGCAAAGCTAATTCATGGCAGGCTGTTCTCTCCCCCACACAGAACAAGTTAGGTATCATCTGAGTGTAACCAGCAGGGTGACAATGCTCTGAATGGTTGGCATTTCTGTCTCTGTGTTTTGTTTCATGGGAGATTATTTTGCACAGACATTTTTAGAAACCTCATTTGTGGAACAGGGTAAATGCCATGGGCAGGTTAAATCTTTCGGTACCTGTGTGACATGCTGTCTACAAGTGATACAAAGGACAATGTAGCTGACGTGTGGATAGTCACATGTTAGTTAGTTCAACATCATGAGTTGTTCTCAGTGGAAGAGCATGTGCTTAGCATAGATGAAGCCCTGGATTCAACCCTTGGTACTCCTCCCCAGCAAACTTAGAAGTTAAAGCATTCGTAACCCTTACCATCTGTCATATGGTAAGCAAAAAACAATTGAAGGCTGAGAAACACTTTCCTAGCACCTGTTTCTCAGGACTCACGAGGCTCGCAAGGTTTCAATGATGGACTTCAGGATTGACTGATCCTTAATAAATTGATAAGCTCAAAGCCGCTTTTTTTTTTTATACGTAATTGTTCATTAGCTCTTGGGCCTTGAAAAAGATGTCCTTGTATCCTTCCTGGTCAGGGATCGTTGATTGCAAACAGCAGAAGTTCAGTGAGAACAATTCATATTAACAAGAGGATGACGGACGACTCAAGTGGGATTCCGTGAAAGCGAAATACAGAAAGCAGGTTGGCTGGGGAAGTCTGTGTAGATGCTCCATTTTGGGATTAGGGATCTGAGGTCCAGGATGCCCTCTCCCAAGGGAGGAAAGGCACCTCATGTAATTCTTGAGACAAGAACACAGTCGCTATGGGACGTAGACTATTCTACCCCAAGGGAACTGGAAAGGTCTTTGCTAAGGTCTCCAGCTTGTGTGCCTCACCTGCTCTCACCTGCTTCTCCCAACCTGCCTCAGTTTCCCACATCTCCCGACAGACTACCTTCTGTCTTTTACCATGGCTTTGCCCTGTTCCCGCAACCGAATCCTGTGATCCCACGGTGTGACTCTCTTTTCTGGTGTTTATTAGCTATGGTAGACAGAGGAGTGTATTCTGTGACAAGGGAGACAGAATGCTCTTGGAAGGAGCTCTCCCAGCTTGCTTGGCGACATGGATGACTGCCTTCCCCTTCTCCCCCAGAATGCACCCTGCTGTCTGCCTGACCTTATCTGGAGACTATCCTAGGCCCGGATACCTGACTTATCTCTAGTGTGACCCGGGACTCGGTTCTCTACAGAAGCTCCCCCCTCCCCACTGCTGCCCGTATGGTAATTAGACACTGTGCTAGGAACATTCCGATAGGACCATGCTTCTACAGATGATACCTGAGACTTGTCCTAGGAGCTTTCTGATAGGAGCGTGTTGTTTAATGCAAATTAGGTGATTCCCTAGGTACCATCCCAATCCTCTCTATTTTCTGTCCTCCCGACTGAAGCTGAGCAGACTCACTGACGCTGTCTCCTGGAGGGTTATGTCCATCGTACTCAGGGGCTGCGCAAGGCCCTGCTTGCTGCTTCTGCCTCCATGGCCTGGTGGCCAAAGGACCATCGGGGAGGAGGGGAGTCACAGGAAAGGACTGCTTGGAAATCAAATAAGATGCTTTCAATTAAGCACCTCTGTAGGCGTCCTAGGACAGCCATCACCTGCAACTTGACATCTTAAAACAACACACATTTATTCTCTCAGAGTTGTGGGGAGACTAGAAGTCTGATGCCAAAGGGTTGGCAGCACCTCACGTCTCCATATCCCTTGCAGAGAATATCTCCTTGTTTTGTGATCTCTGGTGGTAGCAGGAGCTCTCAGGCTTGTGCCCGAATCACCCAATCACTGCCTTCATCTTCAGAGACTGCCCACCCCCATGTAACTTTTCTTTTGACTCACATTCCCCTCTGCCTACCCCCCCATTTAAGGACACTTGTCTTTAGATTGAGGGTTAAACAGGATAATTCTGGATATCTCATTTCAAGACTCTTGGCCTATTCACATTTGCACCTGTTTTCCAACTAAAGGAGCATTTTCAGGTGGCAAATCTTTGATAGGGTTGGCTTTTGGGGTAAAGGAAATGACCTACCTCTAAGCTGTATTTCTTGCCTTTATTTTACTCTTTACTGGAGACAGGTTCTCACTAAATTGCCCAGGCTAGCCTTGAATTCACTCTGAAGTCTGACTAAGTCTTAAGCTTGATCCCCCTGCTTCAGCCTCCTCAGTTGCTGTGACTATAGGCCTGTGCCAGCTGGTCCAGCTGAGAGCAACTCTCTTGATAAAAATTGAAGTGTACGATGCATCGCCATTGAGTATAGGTGCAGTGTTGATCTCCAAAGCTCGTTCACTGGCTTGGGGGGAATATTTTATCCATTGATTGGTAACCCTCCATTTCCCTCCTCCAGTCTCTGAAAAATCGCTGTCTCCTCTTTAATTCTATTAATTTACTTATCTCAGATACTTCCTCTAGGTGGAACTGTACAGGATTTCTCTTTCCATGGCTGGCTTATTTCTCCCTTCTAACTTCATCCAGGCTGTTGAATATTGCATAATGTATTCTTTCCACTGGAAGCACATGCCACTCTGTTCAAATTCCGTTGTCAGTGGGCATCCAGGTTGTTTCCGAATCTCAGATATCACGAACAGGAGAATACCGATGTCTTTGAGATTCTGATATCTTTTGGAGACACACTCCACCACACTAATGTTGAGTCACATTTTTAGCATCTTTTTAAGTTTGTGGGGAAAATTCTATACTATTTTCATGAGTGACTGCACCATGCCACATTCTCATCAGCAAGACAGAACATTTCAGTTTCTTCACGTCTTCCCCAATTCTCTTTTACCGCCTCTTTTTACACACACACACACACACACACACACACACACACACACACACACCCTTGGGGCCATATACACCCCATCCTGACAAATAGGATGAGATAATTGTATTTCCTTGATACAAGGCTAGTGATATTTCCAATTCCCCAATGGTTATCTGTATGGCTGTTGGCCATTTGGTCAAGTTTCTGTTTCCATTGCTTCACCCCTATTATTCGGGGAGGGGGGGCTCAGGCGATGCTCAAAGTCACTTCTCAGTGCTCTTTGACAGATACAAGTTTATTCACAGACCATCTGCTCAGAGAAAAATGCTGGAAGGAGATGGTGGCACAGACATATAACAGCTGGATGGTAGAATTGAGACTCAGCTAGGCATGGTGGTGCATGCCTATAATCCCAGTACTCGGGAGGCTGAGGCTGGGGAATCACAAGTTTGAGGCCAGCCTGGGTTACGTAATTAGACCCCATCTCAAAACAATGACAAAGCAAAGTATTTGTCTGTTTATTATTTATCCTAGGGATTAAACCTAGGGCCTCAGACAGCAAGGTAGTCACTCTACCACTGAGCTACATCCCCAGCAAAATAACATTTGGTAATACTAACTTTTTTTTCTGTTTTCGAGATTGAGTGTTTTATCCATTAGACTACACCTGCAGCTCTTAACAATATTAAAAAGAATGAAAAAAGGTAAAAGGACTTGAGAGACCCGAGACAATAGTTATCAGTAGACCCTCACCACCCTGACATCTGAGCAAAGCCCAGAACTCGTCTCTTGCTTCCTTCCCAAACTGTTTATTTTCTCCTTAGCACACACGGCTATTTTACACGTCACATTTTACACACGTGTGGGTGTGTGCTTCCATTTGTGCATCTCTTCCCTCTCCCTAGAAGATAAGTTTGTAAGACCAGGGACCCTTGGCTTCTCAGTCCCACCGCTGTGACCGAAGTAGTCATGGCATCTAGAAATCTCTGCTGAGAAAGGAAGACTTCATGACACTCACAGGCTGACAAATGGTGTCAATTGTCCCTTACAAACACGCTGCCTCTGATTCTTGATTTCAGGTGGCACAGTTTAACTGGGACCCGGAGACAGTGGGCCTTATCCACGGATCTTTCTTCTGGGGTTATATTGTGACCCAAATTCCCGGTGGCTTCATTTCAAACAAGTTTGCCGCTAACAGGTAAGAGGAACAGACATGATAGTACTGCCGAGACAATAACAGGGTCTTGTGCTTCAATCCCACCTGTGTGCATGTTCTCAGCATAAGGGTGGAGCGTGCAGAACAGAAGCCACGAAGGCAGATGCAATTCAGAGACATTAATCCCAAATGGTGCCTTTTTATTTGCCCCCCCCCCGCACAGTGTAATTTACCTTGTAGCTCATTAAGTGATTCTGTGGTAAAAAGAAAAATTATTTATGAATCGGGGAAGTGGAGCTCACTGAATTGCCTCTCCTGAGCCACTTCCTACCCTTTCCGGGAGCAGTTTTCTCATCTGAGAAATGAAACATTAGATTAAGTTGTGTCTTGGAGCAGTGGCATTCTTTACTTCCCGGGTGTTTATGTCAACATCACCACCATAGCAGGAATTCTGTCATGTGGGCACTGAGGACGTGCCTTTACTCCACAGAATGCTTGTAACATGTAGCTCGCTTAAATGATCCCGCAGCTGTCGGAGGTCTAACTCTCCAGAACAGGGTGAACCATCTGAAAAAGAAATGCGTTTTCTGTCCCTACACGTGTTCCCTGTGAAGAATGTGTGTCCATCTTGGGGGGGGGGGATGCTGTAGACTGAATCGTGTTCCAGAAAAAGAGTGAGTCAGATATCCAGGTCCTTCCAGTGTGTTTGTCCTGAGACACTGCAGAAGTGAACTTCGTGGAATATATCAAATTTTGCAAGGCTGTTTTTTTTTCCCCCAGTCTCTGAAATCACAACTTACACGGCTGTGAAATCAGTGTAGCAGTTTACCATTGGGAATCTTATTTGGAAAAGAGAGTAACAGAAAAGAATGTAGCCAAAGAAAATAGAGACAAGGAAATGTCTAAATATGTTGTTTATGAGAGTAAGTATCAGTTTCCAAAACTGGTCTCATTTACACGCATGCATATATATATATATATACTGTTGTATGAAATATATATGTATACCACATAGGTATGTGTGTGTGCGCACGCAAGTGCAGGCACATGTGTGTAGGAGCCAGAGGTTAATGCCAGGTGCCTTTCTCAATCAAACAACCTACCTTAATTTCTTGAGACAGGCTCTCTCACTGAACCCAGAGTTAACTGACTGAACTAGACTACCTGGCCTGTAAGTCCCAGAAATTGTTCTGTCCTGATCTCTCTGGTGCTGGAGTCATAGGCTCACACTATGATTGTTTTTTATGTGGGTTCCAGGGATTTGAACTCAGATCCTCAGGCTTGTATTCAAGCACCTTACTCACTGAGGCCTCGTCCCCCAAGCTTAATAAGAAATGTATTCTTAAGGGTCAAGGTCAAAGTGCTTGAAAGCCACGGTCATAGGACGTGTGTGTGTGTGTGTGTGTGTGTGTGTGTGTGTGTGTGTCTACCTCAAAGAAAATTATGAGAGTTGTCCCCAAGCCACAAGCTATTTCCTGGATTGTCAGTACCCTTTGTCTGTATCCTTTTCTTGTCTATTGAGAGCGGAGAGAGAAGCAGGAGACACAGCCCCAAACACACAAACATCACAAGTAGGAAAGGCCACTTGGACGAACCCAGGCTGGATGCGAGTCTATGTGGAATTCACCTCAGCACAGCCATCCTGTTGCCTTCTAGGGCTCCACGCATCTCTGTGCTTCTGTGGATGTGAGCACAGATGGTCCATGGACTGAAAGTTGAGAATCAAAGCAGCCTAGGGGACTCCTGGGGACACAGCCGATTATAGTATACTGTCTATTTCTCTGAATGAATTTCTCTTCATGTTCCTCATGGGCGTGCATGAACCTTTAAGTTGTTTCCTGATGTTTAACTGAAGGATGTCAGCCATTGTCATCCTGTCCAATAATACAGCACTTTGGTCCCCTAGGGTCTTCGGAGCCGCCATCTTCTTGACATCTACCCTGAACATATTCATCCCATCTGCAGCCAGGGTCCATTATGGCTGTGTCATGTGTGTGAGGATTTTGCAGGGTCTGGTGGAGGTAGGAGAGACATTTTCTTTACAGTTTTCTGCAAGGCCAGAGAAAGCGTGGTGTTTGAGAACATTTAGGTCATAAAGAAAATCCCCTTTTCTCAGTTTTAAGGTTTCACTATAGGACCCCCTTTTTGCAACTTTGAAATCACGGATTGGGTGGGCTGGTTACATTTTTGACATAAAACATATAGGATACATGCGTGCCAGTAGTAATTAAGAATGTGGTCGGACTCAGTGGTGCAGGGCCATGATCTCAGGTATTAAAGGGGCTGAGACAGGAGGATTTCAAGTTTCAAGGTTTCCTGGGGAACTTGGGAGGCCCTGTTGCAGAATAAAACTTAAAAGGGCAAAGAGAATAGTAGGTAGAATTCTTGCCTAGCATTTAAAAAGCCCTATGCTCAGCCTCACTTACCCTCTATAACGAGAAAAGATAGAAACATTTAGATTGCTGTGGGATCTCCAGTCCACCTTCAGTCCTGTTGGAAGGACTCTTGCTGAACTTTGGTGACTACTGATGTGGCAGAAAAAATGTGACAGTCGTAGTTGTGAACACCAAGGCTAAAGCCAGGGTGGTCTTAACGACTCTGAGCATCAGATCCTGTACCCAGAAATGAGACAGACTGGCTGACTGTGGAAGTCACTTCCTACACCCAAATTCTTCAATAACGTGAAACACAGATACGGCATCTTGGCATCTTTCTGGCTCTCCTCCATCCTTACATTTGAGCTATAGCTTTGAATGTCCGGAGCAGTGTTAGGAGTCAATATCTGTTAAATTTAAAAAAAAGAATGGAACTAATTAAAACCTGTTAGGGTATCAGTAACATAGCAATACAGGCATTTATTTCTCGTGGTTCTGTAGGCTAGGCAGTCCAAAATCTGTGTGATCACCATGTTCAGTGACCGACGAGGGCCTGCTTCCTGGGTCGTAGACTGACGGTCCCCTCTGTGTTCTCATGTCACAGAAGGGGCAGCAGTGTTTTGGGGTCTCTCCTGGAAAGGCATTAATTCTATTCATGAGGCCTCCGCCTCTGTGCTCTTGGGATTCCCAATGCCCACGTTCAAGCACCGCCACACTGGGAATTCAATTTCAACATAGAGATTTGAGAAGAACATAGGCTTTGTGTTTGGCCGTGTATACAAACTGTGCTTTTATATTTTAGCTTGTGGGAATCAGCGACGTGTGCATCTTAAACACAGAAGGGAATTGGAATAACATTTGGTCCTCCATGTCTCATCTTTCTGCCAGGGTGTGACCTACCCAGCCTGCCACGGGATGTGGAGTAAGTGGGCGCCCCCCCTGGAGAGAAGCCGATTGGCCACAACTTCTTTTTGTGGTAAGCGTGTTAGCGTCATAAGTTGGTTCAGGACTGCCTTTTGGTTTCAGGTAAGCTGAGAAGTCTACCGAGAATCTTCAGAAGAACCTACTTTCCTACATGACAGAATCCCTAGGGTAAATAGTCGCTGGGGTGGAGTCTAAGCTAGCCGAGCTGTCCCGGGCTCTAGGGTTGTGTGTTAAATCACTGGGACCCACATGGTAGCAGAGAACCAATTCATAGGTTGTTCTCTGGCCCCCAACCTTGTGCCATGGCTTGTGTGGGTCCTTCACGCGTACATCAAATAAACAGGAATGTGATAAAATAATTTTTCAAGTAGAAGAGATGGGGTTACCAAATTCTGCCCCGCCCCCTTCATTTTCGCATGGAATAAGAAATACAATGCCTTGTGCAAGATTGCAAAGATCCTCGGTCCTGGAGCTGAGCTGAGACCGCTTGGCTCAGAATATGGGCCTTTCCTTAATACACATAACTACCATGCAGCTACTGTCACCAAGGGACCTATTTGTGAGCATTATATTCCAGATAAAAAATGAAACAGGGTCCATTCATCTTACCTGAAAGCAGACCAGTGGTCCCCAAGTAGTGACATGACTTCAATTCTTGGGTCTCTGAACTTTGTATCGTGAAGGTTCTCTTCTAAACACGGCTGGGAGGAGCCAATGTCCTGACAGGTTTATTGCAGAAGGGACCAGCAAAGGAAGTGAGAACCACCAGCACAGTTACAAAATGCATGTAAAATGTGTTTTTATAGAGGAAGGGACCCAGGCTCAATTCCCAGCATCCACATGACAGCCAACTTCAGTCCAATGCCTTCTTCTGGCCCCCTCTGGCACCAGAAGCACGTGTGGTTCACAGACACATAGGCAGGCAAAGAATTCAGACACATCAAAATAAAATATATTTGAGGTACATGCCCCAGTGGGCACTCAATTAAAAAAAAGATTAGAACTTGGCTATGTCTGACTTATTTTTGTACAGACAGACCATTATTGTGAATAACAAGGCAGTTAAAAAAAAGAAGTAAGTTTTCCCAAAACCAGTTTCAGCCTTAAAAAGAATCATTTACTATGAAAAAAGCTATAGTTGTAATTATCATTTTTAGAGGATTCTAAATATTCTTAGGAAGTGTTTTTGTAAAAATTCTTATTGACTTTTACCTCTAATTGATTTTTGACTCTTTAAAACAAAGTTTTAAAAATATATTATGGCATAAGTCTTTCGCCAGCACATGTCTGTGTACCACATGTGTTCCCGATGCTGAGGGACCAGAGGACAGCGGATCCTTTGGAACTGGAGTTGCGGAAGGTTGTTGGCAGCCATCTGTGCGCTGTGGGAACTGAACGAACCTGGGTCCTCTGCAAAGGAAGAGAGTGAAGAGGGTGCCCTTAACTGCTGAGTCATCCAGCTCTAGCCCCTGGGTTTTTTTTTTTTACTCTTAACTACTAGTTTTTATTTGATTTTTGTGTGTATCTATGTGTGTGGATGATGATGGGGTAGTGGTGGTGGTGGTGGTGGTGTGTGTGTGTGTGTGTGTGTATGTGTGTGGATGATGATGGGGTAGTGGTGGTGGTGGTGGTGTGTGTGTGTGAGTACATCCATAGAGCATGTGCAGAGGTCCCCCCAAAACCTCTGGTGTTGGTCCTCACCTTCTTCCTTGTGTGAGGGGGGGGGTCTCTTGTTGCTTTCTTACTGCATATGCCAGGCTTGCCGGACTTCAGGGTTCCAGTGTCTGCTGCCTTTGCCCCCCATCTCGGTGTTGGAATCCTGGGATGACAGGTGCTCACCACCATGCAGGTTCTATCAGGGTTTGGGGGGATTTGAACTCTGATCCTCATGCTTGTGTAGTAAGCCCTTTGCCCCCTGAGCATCTCCCAGCCCTGCTCCAGTTTTTTGAGACAGAGTTTCACATAGCCCCGAGTGACCTTGACTTCTTGATCCTTCTGTTTCCATCTGCACAGTGTGAGGATTACTCTGTGTTTCTCCAAGCCCTGCTCCCTAGCTTTTATTCTAGAAGAATATACCCCCCCAATTTGGGGTTCATTTTTAATAACCAAGGGAAGACTGAGTTACTGAATGCCAGTTACTGTTGCGGTCTGGGTAATCCTTGGATTTTCAATCCTCACCAAAGGAACCGAAACCCTTTCCTTGGTGGAGCTTGTTTGTGAGATAACCGAATTCTCATCTCACTCCCTCTCTGAGCCATTGCTTTATCAGCATGACCCCACATATCAGATCTTTTTATTCATAATTAAAGAACCCTTAAAACTGTTAATTTTTCTCTTTATGCCTCTTTAGTATTACCTTGCATAGCTCAGCTGGTTTCTTCAGTTATGAAGATGGTTTGGCACATACATAGCCTGTTTAAATCGTCTGTGGGGACTTGAACTTTGGAGGCTTTTTTGAGACAGGATTTGATTATGTAGCCCCGGCTAGCCTCCCAGCCTCCAACTCATAATCCTCCTGCCTCCGCTTTCCTAGTGCCATGACTACAAGGTATGCACCACTACACCTAACAATCTGATTTGTTTTTAAAATTGTAATTTATTTATTTTGTGTGTGTGTGTGTGTGTGTGTGTGTATACGCACGTGCACGCACGCGCGCATGCGCCCATGCCAGGACATATGTTGAAGTTCTCTCCTGTGGGGTCAGGGGATTGAACTCAGGTAGTTAGACTTGGTGGCCGTTACTTTAGCCTGTCATGCCTACCCAATTCTTTCAACTGTCATGTCTTTCCTAGGATAAGCTGATCGGAACTTCTTCACCAAGGGGAGAAATCAACCCTCCTCTTTCTTAATATGGGTGTTCTTATTTTTTCTTTTAAGAATTATTTATTTTATGCGTATAGCTGTTTTGTCTGCATATATGTTTACATGCCACATGTACGCCTGGTGCCTCTGGAGACCAGAAGGTGGCAATGGATTGCCTGAGCCTGGGGTTATAGTGGGCTGCAAGCTGCCATGTGGGTACTAGAAACTGAGCCAGGGTTCCATCTCTGGAAGAATAGCTAATACACTTAACCTCTAATCCATCCCTCTAACCCAGTTAATTCTCTTTCTTATTGTCTCCGTATTTCCTTTAAATCATTAGCACCATAAACTGTTGCCCGGGAGTTTGGTGGGAGACAGTGCCTATGCCCCTGTTTGTGTTTAGTTCTTAAGAGTGCACAGCTGAGATGGATTTGGCTTCTCTTGATTGCCAGGGTGTAGCTCCACCCTACAAAAGTTACCGCCAACCCCTGGAGACGGAAGACTGCCCTCTCACCGTGGGTGGTGTGACCCTTGGCCTTCCTATTCTCTGCCAGTTGATTGGCAAGACCTTTCGTTTTGATTTGCCAGCAAAATGAGAGTGACTAGTAGCCGCTCCCCTTCCTCAGAGTGGTTTTATAGCCTTAAAAGGGCTGATTTAAACGTGGCTCGCCTCAAGGAAAGACGCCTGGTCAAGGTCGCAGGCCTTATGATATTTCCCAGCTAAGGTGTGGCTTTGTTTCAGAGATCAGTCTAAGGAAAATGGTACTAAAAGGAAACTGAAGCTTGAGGTTCATCCATTCTTAATTTTATAAGATACTGGAGTTGGAAGAGACTAGAAAACATGGGGTCACAGCTCATTGCTTTAGGGTTGAAAACAGGGAAAAGAAGTGAAATTAACATGTCTTGAGAGTGAGAAGAGAACTCAGGAGTGTCTCGACTTCTGCATGACACACCACTCCCTGAGGGCTTCACCTGCTCTCAGTGGTGAGCACATGGGCGCTAATGACCACTCTGCTCCCCAGGGTAACCTGAGGGCCGCATATCTGTCTCACTGGAACAAGCTGAAGGGACTGGGTTAGAGCTCTGACAGAGAAGACAGGGAGTTCCATAGACAGGGAGGCGATTGGTGAGTGAGGCAGGGTTGAAAAACCACAGGCCAAGCAGAGGTGGAACACACCTTTAATCCTAGTGCTTGGGAGGCAGAGGCAGGAGGATCTCCGTGAGTTAGGGGCCAGCCTGGTCTACAGAGTGAGTTCCAGGACAGCCAGGGCTACACCAAGAAACCCTGTGGGGGGGGGAGTGAGAAAGAAAAAAAGAAAGGAAGGAAGGAAGAAAGGAAGAGAGAAAAAGAAAAACCATAGAGTAAGGTCTTCTCTGTGATTTTATGCAAATGTCACCATAGGGAACTCACATTTTCCCAGTTTTTTTTTTCCCTATAAAATGGGGAGTGTTTTTTTCTTTTCCTTTTTTTTAAAATCTCCCTCATCAGGTTGAAAGAAGCTGAAGGAGGAAAATTCCCCGTTCGGGATTCTTGGCCCCCACTTAGCATACAGCATCATAGTAGCTGGTCTTTACTCTTTCTGACTCTCTGTCTCAAGCACACCTTTGCATTATGAGAATTTCATCCTACTGCTCCCTGGGGCAGAAGATCACTCTACACACACACACACACACACACACACACACACACCACACGCATGCACATACACAATGTTCTCTCTCACACATGCATGAGCATACACACATATGCACACATACACATGTACACATGCACACACACATGTACATATACATGCTCTCACACAGAGTGACACACACATGCCCCCTCTCTCACACACACATGTACACACAAGCATGCACACAATGCTCTCTCACACACATGCACACACATGCACATACGCTCTTTCTCACACACATGTGCTCACATACACACATGCACACATACACATGAGCACACACATGCTCTCTCACGCACAGAGTGAGTAAAGGAAACAGAAACAGAAAGACAGAGAGAAAAAGAAAAAAGGATTTCTTTGCTTATGTCTGCTCTGGAGTGCTTGCTTTATTTCTGTGAACAATGTTGAGCTGGAAAATCAATGTGCCTTAGGGCTGGGGTTGTAGCTCATGTGTAAGAGCACCTACTTTGCAGGAAGATCTGGGTTATAATCCCAGTACCACCTAGGAACAGATGTGGTGACACAGCCTACAAACCTGGTAGGTGGAGGCAGGAAGATCAAAGGTTCAAAGTCACACGTGTGAAGTTCAAGGCCAACCTAGGCTACCTGTCTCAATTCTGTAGATAATAAAGGCCAACTTTTACAGACCATTTCCAGCTTACAGAGCATCTGACACCACAGCACAGATAACACCCCCAAGAGGCAGAGGCGTCCTTCCTATTTTATCTCTGAATGACTCTCCCTACTTCCTCAGGTCTCACAGTCACATTCCTGGTCCCAGGCCACACCTGTCTTAGGGACCAGGCCCAGTTTAGGCAGGGGCAATAGTTTCCTATTTCCCTACTTTCTGAAGATCTTGCTTGGTGTTGGATTTGGGAAACGGTTTTCCTTTCCTGCCACTCATTGTTCTTAAGGACAAGCATCTCATTCACGGCCTGGGAGGATTCAGTTAGTGTTTACTAGGAGTTGACAGGGCCTCTAGTTTCCCTAGCAGCCGTCCAGGGGGACCAGATTACTGCTTCGAGTGCTTACAGCAAGGCAGACGGCTCTCACACACGCTCACGAAGTTCAGAATTCACAAAGCAAGAATCATCCATGGACAAAATCACCCAAGTCTAAGCCTAAAGATTTCAGTTGCCTTCGTTTTTCTTTTCTAGAACCATCAACAGTTCAATCCATAAGACAGAATGATGGCTACAGAATAGACTAACAGGAGAGGCTGGTTCCTGGGCAGGGAAGGGCTGACAAGGGGCAGAAGCTAAGAACAAAGTTTAGTGATTTTTTTTCATTCATGGCTGCAGGGCAAAGACCCAGGGCAGTAGAGAATAACCTGTTCCCAGTTAGCATTAGGTGACACTTTTAGTGTGAAGATCTACGTAGAGATACTCAGAAGTCTCTTGTCACACCCTGGAACCTAGCTTGTTATTTTTCCTGGTTTCTTAAAAAAAAAAAAAAAATCTGATGAATAGCTTAGCTTTGCCTTGGTGATGTAGAACCCTGGAACTAGTGATGCCATTTTGATTTTAGTCTGTTCTGTTGGGGCCAGTGTGAGAATTCACATCATTTAAAATATTGGTCTCCTGTGTTTTCTTTTAAATTTTCATTTTCTTGCCTTTTATTTCTTTTTCTCTCTTCCTTCCTTCCTTCCTTCCTTCCTTCCTTCCTTCCTTCCTTCCTTTCTTTCTTTCTTTCTTTGAGACATGGTTTCTCTGTGTAGCTTTGGAGCCTGTCCTGGAGCTTGCTCTGTAGACCAGGCTGACCTCGAATTTACAGAGATCGCCTGCCTCTGCCTCCCGAGTGCTAGGATTAAAGGGGTGCGTCACCACAGCCTGGCTGGTCTCACTGATCTCCAGTAATTTGTATTCAACAAAAATGATCTTTAAAATGTATCCATTTAGGAAGTGGATGGAGAATAAAGTTCTCCTGCCAGACTGGAATCTTGCTGAGCGGTGTGTGTCTGTGCGCATGTATGTGCATGTGTGTTCTTCCATTTTTGAAAAGGTTCTGAAACCATTTGGGTGCGGTCCTGGGAGCTCTAAAGTAGGCTCCTGTTCTTTCTGCCTTTAGCACCGGCGCTGTGCCTGGCTGTACTAACTTTTATCTCGTTTTCTCATCTCTGCGCATGAAGTTCTAAACTGTAGTACCCAAGAAAACTTGGTCTAATCCCTGGATGTGTCTTTCAGTGAAGTTGAAGAGCATCAGAAATGCTCCCCTCTCCTAGACACTCTGTTTTACAACACGCTTGGGGGCTGAGGCGTAGCTCAGCTGCAAGGTTGTAACTTTAGTCCCCTGCCCACTAACGTCAGCAATAATGTTCACTGGGAACCCCTGACTGTTGTCACGGAGACATAGGACTTGGACTTCGTCAGGCACATGCTGCCTAGGCTAACAAGGCTTAAATGATGGTTGGTTAGTGTCTCTGTCCCTCAGTTTTTTTCTGCTTCCAGGTTCCTATGCTGGGGCAGTCGTTGCTATGCCCCTGGCGGGAGTATTGGTGCAGTACATTGGCTGGGCCTCTGTCTTTTACATTTACGGTGAGTGATTTGGTTTCATGAGTTGACACTCATAGATATATTTTATAAGATAAGGTTATTATATAAGGGTTTGCTATGAGAAAATAGAAATACAAAGGTAAGGTCATTATACAAGTGGGAAGCCTGCTTGTGATCAACTTGATACTTATATTAAACTTGGCATTTTAAGAAAGCAGAATAGTGCCTTTCTTTAAATCTCAGCCAAAGAAGATAAAAACCAGCAAGATACTTCTCAATGAACATACATTATTATAAAAATTAGCTACTATGGAGATTGAAGCAAATGAGGTCTTGTCACTGAGCTATTTGGTGTTTTATCTGCAGGTATGTTTGGGATTATTTGGTACATGTTTTGGCTGCTGCAGGCTTATGAGTGCCCAGCAGCTCACCCAACCATAACCAATGCGGAAAAGACCTACATAGAGACAAGCATAGGAGAAGGGGCCAACTTGGCCAGTCCGAGTGTAAGTACAGACAGAAGGTAAAGTCTGGGCACTTCCCCATACGTTCCTCTCCGTGATTGTGTTATCTTCTTTGGGGGGAGGGGAGGGGAAGTCCCTGCAAACACTACGACTGGCAGAGGAGTGATCCATGAAAGGCAAGAAGGAAATCCGGTTCAGCACAATTTAGTTAGCCATTGCTGCTTCAAACTTCTAACGTCTGACACTGTGCAGCTCATTTTAGACCTGTTAGACAGGACCATTTTGGGAAAAGGTTTTCCAGTAGCAATCATCTTAACACCATGTGCACAATAAAGCCGAAAGTGTGACTACACTACATGGGAACTCCTTTTGCAAAGTATGCATGACCTCGACCATGGAGATGGGTTCTGTGGCTTCAGGAACTAGGATCTGGTGGGGTCTCAGTCATACAGATAGTGTTGAAGTCACTGAGCTCTGAAGTACGTGTGACATCTTCCTAAAGGATGGGTCCTCTTGACTGAGAAGCAACACTCAAGACAAAGGTCTAGGGAGGGAGAGTTTGTGATAAACATAATAGTCTGGGAGATTTGGGTGATGCCTGGCCGTACCGATAGCCAAGGCCACCAGGTTATTAACCACATCCACTCCCAGGCTTCTGGGTGGAAAACAGGTTCCATGCTGCCCATTGCAGAGACAAGCCTGCATGCTTCACATTCCTGGTTTTCCATGTGCTTAACTGTGAGCACAAAGACCTTGTGCTCTGCGTGCCTCCTTACAGAGAGAAGACCTTGGTGTCTTCACTCAAAAGCTCATGGTCTTTTTCGCCCCCTAGAAATTCAACACCCCATGGAAACGATTCTTCACATCACTGCCCGTCTATGCGATCATTGTGGCAAACTTCTGTAGAAGCTGGACTTTTTATTTGCTCTTAATAAGCCAGCCCGCTTACTTTGAAGAGGTCTTTGGGTTTGCAATAAGTAAGGTAAATATACAGAGGCTTCCGATGCTCTTGATCTGGCCGAGAATAACCGTTGCATGATAAAATAATTGAAATGGCTGTCACTCACAAAGTTCTGGGACGCTTAGCATCCTAGAGCTCAGACAATAGTCCTATGTTTTAATTTCTTTTTAGTATGGATCAAACATGTATTAATCTGCATTTAAAGACAGTGCCTCTTAATCTAATCTCAGGATGTTTCTGAAACTAATGCCAACACTAAATGTTAGTTCGAAGGTAAACATATTTGATGGGGTGGGTTTTTCTCTTTCTAAACCTCTCATTATGGGCTAGTAAGTTGGCTCAGCAGACAAAAGGCTTATGGTTTATAACTGGGTTTTTTTTTCCCACCCACCAATTCTCAAATAACCACTCTGAGGCTTAATATTAATTACAAACTCTTTGGTCTGTTAGCTCGGGCTTATTATTCACTAACTCTTACAACTTAAATTACCCCATTTCTATTATTTCATATTTGACCCCGAGGCTCGTGGATTGTTACCTCATATCTTGTTTTTCCAGGGGCTGCTGGCATCTCCCAGTCTCTGCCTTTTTGTTTCACCCTGTATCTCTTTTTGGATTTCCTGCCTGGCTCTATTCTGTCTGGCTATTGGCCAAATCAGCTTCTTTACTAACCAATGCTAATAAAACATATTCACAGCGCACAGAGGGGCATCCCATATCAATGGTCAAGTGAGATTACTTAGGTTTGGTCCCCAGGACTCAGATGGTAGAAGGAATGAATCAGTTCCTGTAAACTGTCCTCTGACCTCAGCAATGTGTGCTATGACCTTCCCCTTCCCCCAAAATAGATAAATGCAATAAATAAATAAATACATAAATAAATAAATAAAATATTGGGTGGCAGAAAGAACACTGAGACTAATGTTTCAGACCAGTGTCCCCCCCCCCATTTTTTTCATTATGGTGAGTGTTGCAGTAACAATAGTTGCTTTGGATAGTTTAGAAAGAATCTTCTTGAGTGTCTCCAGTCATTGTCATGGGGTTGCCTATGTTTTAGGGAGGAAACAATGTAATCAACATGAAACATGAAAGTATCCTTTCTTCAAGAGAAAGAGCTGCAGCCAGGCACAGGTAGATGTCCAACTTAGCTGCAAGCATTATTAAGCAGAGACTGGAAGAACCAGCACAGTATTGTGATCGTGGAAACCAAGTCTGATTTTCCGCTGCAAGGCCTTATTCTGGACACCGGGGCCTTGTGATGAGTCAGAGTTGTCTGTGGCCCTATGGAACTTTCAGTCGGGTGGGGAGGACAGTTGGTTCACACCCAGAATCATTCTCTGCGTTCATTGCTCAATGGCCATGAAGTTCAGACCTCCTGAGATTCCGCATTAGATAATTAAACTTGGTAATGACTGTGGAACTGTGCGATAGGGGCGGGCAGGGACTTGTAAAGACCTCTCAGTAGAAGTTAAGTTGGGATTTTGCTTCTTTGCCTCCCAGGTGGGTCTGCTGTCAGCCGTCCCACACATGGTGATGACAATTGTGGTACCGATCGGAGGACAACTGGCGGATTATTTAAGAAGCAGAAAAATTTTAACCACAACCGCCGTCCGAAAGATCATGAATTGTGGAGGTACTGTGCACTCCAAAGACACGCCAAGGTTCCTGTAGGATTAGAGCCAATGGAATGGCAGAGCCTGCTTTGTTAGAGCCAGCCCAGACGTTGTCTCCCATCCAAGTTCTAACTCAGCCCTGCTTAGCTTCTGAGACTGGGCTTGCCAGGCTCAGTCAGGCTGAGTCCAGGCATTGGAATGGATCTTGAAGACTTCTGAGTCCATCTCCAAGTAGATAGTTGAGTGTTGTCCGCCATATACCTGCCATGTGGTCATGTAGCCAGTACAGTCTGGGGTGGGACAACTTAGTTGATGGATAATGGATCAGGACACACTTAAAACCCAAGAAACACTTCTTCCTTCTATTCTGAAGCCCAAGTTGTATAACTTCTGGTAATGTATTTGCCTGCTGTCTGTCAATTCCGTACATCCTTCCACTTACTGTTTGCTTACAAAGCTTATTTCCTCTTTCCCTCCTCCTCCTCCTCTTCCTCTTCTTCTTCCTCTTCCCCCTTCTCCTCCTTCTTCTCCTCCTCTCCTCCTCCTCCTCCTTCTTCTTCAACGTATGTGTACATACATGTTTGGGTAAAACACAAAGGACAAGTGATTATGAATGAAGTATATGAATACCACCCCCTCAACTACACACCCCTGCACGAAGAGTGCCCCCCTTCACCTATGCACCCCGACAGTGCCCCCATCTATTCACCCCTGCATGAACAGTGTTCCCCCATCTCTGCACCATTGTAAGAGCAGCACCCCTCACCTACGTACCCCTGCATGAACAGTGCCCCCATCTACACACCCCTGCATGAACAGTGCCCCCCTCATCTACACACCCCTGCATGAACAGTGCCCCCCTCATCTACACACCCCTGCATGAACAGTGCCCACCTTATCTATACACACCCTTGCACGCATGTTGTTCTTTCCTGGTTTTCTTAGTTCCTGTTTTATGTTTTGATTTTGCAAAGACAAAGTGGAAGTTAGTGTGTTTCACATGAAGAGTCAATGACACTAGTCACGAAGTCATGCAATGTTTATAACCGTTCATCTTTTCAACCTCTCCACTTCTCCTCAGCTCAGCTATTTTGGTTTTTGAGCTTGCTCTCTTGGGGGCTTTCAGAGCTCTGCACTGACCTAGGGCTTCACCCATACTGTATTACTTAATCTTCGTTATATCCTTGTGGAGAAGGTACAGTTGCTCTATGCTGTGACATTCGTGGGCAGAAATAAAAAAAAAAACTGAGCTAAAATAAAATGACGTCTTCAAGCAGCAGATCCTGTGCCAGGCGATAGGTCTGTCTGAGCCCATTGTCCTCTCAGCTGCCATCTCTCCAGGGAAAGCACCACCAATGACTACAAGGTCATGAATAGGATCTTAGACTGAAGGAATGGATGTGTACGCTCTGACTCCAAAAGAGAGGGTTTAGACCCATTTACCAGTGAAGAAACAATGTAGAGAGATACAAGACTTGTTACAATCTGCCCTCACATCACTGAAGGAGTAAAGAGTACGTAATGAGACAAGACAGGGAACCTGCTGTCCCGGGAGTCTATCTTCTGGTCTTCAGGGATTCTTGGGTCTGACCTTTGCTTGAACTGTTATATAAGAGATTGAAGGATTGCAGGGGCAGACCTATCCCCTGGTGGCCGGGAGCTGAAGATCTGGGCCATTGCATTCGGGAGCCTCTGTTTGCTCATGTGATTTTGCAGGTGTGCTTAACTTAAAGAACTTTTGTTGAGATAGAGTCCCGTTGTAGAGGATTGCCTTGAACCCCTTCCCTCCTGCCTCTGCCTCCAAAGTGCTGAAATTATCGGCCTGCTCCACCAAACCCAGTTCATGTGGTGCTGGGGATCCAACTCAGGACCCTGTGCACGTTAGGCGAGCAGCTTACCAACTGAGCTCTGTCTTCATGCCCTAAATCAATGGTCTTGAGAAGGAGAGATCATCCTACATTAGTTAGTTGAGCCCAGGGTAACTACAAGTTTTCTTAATAGAGGTCAAGGGTCAGGGTGGCAGAACCGGGTCAGAGTGATGCTGCAGGCTGAGAATCATGAGCAGACTCTAGGAACCAGCAGAGGGAAGAACAGAGTCACCTCCAGCGTTCACAACAAGCACAGCTGTGCTGCCGACTTGCTCTCCTCTCAGAATGGCCCACTTAGGACTCCTGACTTACAGAACTGTATGATAATAAATGTGCATTATTTTGAGCTGTTTTGGTGTTTTGCTACATCAGCAACTGGAGGCTGATAAAAGAGCAGCGATCCCACTCCTGTCTCATTTGGTGCCGGCTCATTGTCGTCCTGAGGATCTTTTATTTCAGGCGATTATTACAGATTTTGTTTTTAGAAGAAAAATATTGGACGAGTGTTGTATGTTATGTAGTGTTATGTAGAAGGCCACAACTTACGTAGACACAAGGGGTCGCTGGCTGTCTAGACAGCATTCAGACTGGCAGGAGCAACATCCCAAGGATTATCAACTCTTTTCTCTCATCCTGGGGTTATTTGTTCTTGAAGGTACCTCGGGGTAGGTAGAAATTTCACAGAACACTGAGGTAATAGCATGGTTATGCAGTCATGAATATTGGGGAATATTGTAGACATCGAGCTAGGATGTGTGCACTGAAAACTGCGCTTTATGGTATGTGGGTTCATGTGCTAGGCCAATAGTTTTGGCAGGCTGACAGGTATATGATGCTTCTGTTTTGATTTGCAGGTTTTGGCATGGAGGCAACCTTGCTTCTGGTGGTTGGCTTTTCCCACACCAAAGGAGTGGCTATCTCCTTCCTGGTACTCGCTGTAGGCTTTAGTGGCTTTGCTATTTCAGGTAAAACATCCTCCGGGTTTCTGAATTGAGTATGGAGATTCACTAAATCTTAGGAGGAAGGAAGGACAAGGAAATTGTAGCACCTTCACTTAGTAGCCCAGGGATCCCCAAGGGACAGGGCCATGGCACAGTTTCACCAAGTGGGGTGACATAGGATCCACCAGGGATGTGCTTAGACCCCATTAGAACTGGGATTGTCCCTCTTTGCTCCACCAGAGGAAAATATGTAAGTGCAGCTGATTTCCCTGAGGCAAAAGCAGAGGCCAGGCATGTGTCCCAGGCTAGTCCCCAGTTCACCCTACCTGGCAGACTCACTTCCTGTTAAGGGAATGCTCATTCTAGCTCAATGGCCAGGTCATTTGACCCATGGTTACAGACATAGTGAGTGTTTAGAGCGATTTCTATAGCTTTCAAGGAGTTCTTGTCTACTTCATTGCTTTAATTTTTCAAACAAGAAGGTGCAGGTCTGGAGTGGGGTTGAAGTTCCTCAGAACAAATAGGAATGTTGATGATGGTAATGCTGATGGTGATGATGATGATGGTGATGATGGTGGTGATGATGGTGATGGTGATGATGATGGTGATGATGATGATGATGATGATGGTGATGGTGATGGTGATGATGGGGATGATGGGGATGATGGTGATGATGATGATGATGGTGATGATG